CAGGTAGAGTAAGGCACCATTTGGGCTTTTCTTGAAAAAAGTTTCCTCAGATTGCAGTGATGAGCATTACGGTAGATTCATTTCTTTGGAGTTGTGGTGTAATACTGTTTGTCAACAATGTTTGATAATTGATAACATCATTGAATTACGCTCCAAGCACAACGTTCATATATATATATAGATAATATCGCGCCCACCTCGTATGTCACCGATGCAATATTTATAAATAACTCCGTGGCGCACGGCATATGCGACCGATAGGCGATCCCTCTCAGGAACAACCAACGAAAGCATAGCAATTATCATCTATGAGAGGTATGAGAAATGTCAGAATAAGACAGCGTAAAATGCCAGAATTGGCAACTGCGAGGGTGTATATAGCAACTGTCGATTACCCAGTGACCACTGTGACCGCTAGACGGCTCACGATTCTGGCGCTATAGTAGATGTGGACTGCACACAAGCTCGGCAACTTTGCAGTCTATCACCAAAACAAGTAAGATTTTACTAGTTGGTATAAAGTAGCTAGTTTCGTAACATAGTTAGGTAGAGATTCAGTCAATATACGTGCCTTTTCTCAGTAAATATTCATTGACTCTTAATTTCGCTTCTTGTTTATTAGAGGAAAGCTTTAAACCGATAATTTGATACTTTACGTCGCCTATTCACAACGTTCCCTGTTAAGGACTGCATAATTCCGTCGATGTTGACTGAACGACAACAGTGCGTTTACTAATAGAACAAACGAGCACTTGGGACACTCTGATATTCCGTGTTGTCATATTTATTACTTATCAAAGTAAAATATCGAGATGATCAAGAACCATTAAACGATTTAACATTGACCTAGCTCGTTTCCGCAATATAAACGTACCAATTTAAAAACGAAAATCAGCGATGCGAGCGATGTGTGCATGCGTGTAGCAAAACTCCACCCGAAGAGATGATATATCAACTACGGCCGTAACTCGTAACTCTTTCCATCTCCTTCCGCGTATACAGCTGGTCGTGATTCGCGATACTTTAGAACTAGTTCTCTATCCTCATTAATTCTAAAGGTCAAGGATCTTTCCTACGACAATACAAGGTGATAATAGCAATGCAAAACTGACACTGACTAAAACTCGTATCACTCAGCCCTTGTGATTTTATATCAATCTTGATCTTGTATCAGCTTCGTGTCCATGCTTATTTTTTATCGGTACAATATATGAACATGGTCGCTAATTTAATATCCGGACCTAAATGAAAAAATAAGTTTTTGCAGCTAAACCAAGTTACAAGAAATCGACTATTACTCCAAAGATGCCTTCTCATCGGTTGAATTTGGGACACACGTGCTTTTTTGCGCCTCTACTTAGTGAAATCGGGCCTTATAGCGTTTGTTGTAAAGCCTTTCTTAATGTAGCTACTACATTTTAATAACGTATAATAATATATTCCGGCGGAATAATTTCCGCTAGGCGAATTAGCAAAACGCCTAGTCATCCTCCCAAAAAACAATACGTCAATCGCGAACTGTTGCACAGTTATTCTCATTACCAAAACGGTTAGAAACACGATTAATAATATATCAGAGCGGCTCCTGTTGTAAAAGAAGGTGGTGAGAAACAATTACTGTACGAGCTACAAACAGATCCTATCAGCATTTTGTTGTTCGGGGCCTTATTCATTGTTTTCAATGCATTATCCAGAAATTAGATAGAAAAATATCCTTAAGGAATTCGTTGAATTTGATCACAATATAGATTTTCATCTATGAACTCTAAAGCGCTTAACTGACTCTTCTATCTAAATAGCACGGCCGTTTAGAATAATGTTCAAATTATTTTTAATAAGGGACCTTAGATTGTTAGGAGAAAAAATGATAACTTTGGACTCAACCGGAGACTATGTTTTGTTGCATAATATTTGATAGTATTTCGGTCCTCTATTATTTGTGCTTCCGAAATTTCTAAATTTTCATGATTGAAGCTACGATATGATTGTGAGTCGTCAGCAAAAAACTAAATACTACAAAATTTCACAACCCTGTTTATATCTGCTATACAAAATAAAGAGAGGTGCTCCAAGAACTGATCCTTGAGGCACTCCTGATGTTCTGTACAAAATTCTGAATCAACGACTACCTTTTGGGACGTATTTATTAGAAAGCTGCGCATTAAACTCAGTGAGGAATCATCGAAACCATAATGCTTACTTTTAGCAATTAAAAGAGAGTGATTTATTGTATCGAATGCCTTTGCGAAAACAACTAATGGTGATCCCTCGCTCTGACGATATTATCAGGAAGATCGAGAAGGGCACACGCCGTACTATGGCCTTTCCGAATTCCACATTGTTTCTCCGGTAGAATCTCATGTTCTAAAATGTGGTCATTTATTTGAATGTGTATAGCTTATTCCAATAATTTTGCAAGTGTAGGTAACATACTTATGGGCCGTAGGTCTGTATTGTTAATTTTTTTCTAAAGCGTTAAAAACCACTTTCCTGAATAAAAACCTATTCGCCAGCATGATAAACAAAAATTACGTAAATGTGGTCGGTTACCGGCTATTGGCCACCGTCTAGACCGACAGTAAAATCGAACCCGAAATAGTAAAAGCATTTCCCAAAGCGTTATCGAATTCAGAAGGCAACGCTATACAATGACCAGCGAAAAAAGTGTGAGAAATCAATTAAGTAGAAGGAAAGCTAATAATGGTGCAGTTTGTTATGAAAAAAGTTTTGCACTGCACACGAAAAAGTTGTTTGATAACAATCGAATTTCTTCTTTTTTGAAATGCTCTTGTTGTCATAACGGAGGTCGTTAATGGCCTTCGATATATGATCATATTTTCTGAGATCATTTACACGTCTACAACATGTATTCATAATACTTCGAACACCGTTTATTATTCTATCTAAATAGGGATAGTAAACCACTAAGCAATATGATATTTTTGAAAACAAGAGAGATTCACACAATTAAATTTATGTAAAATAGCCTTATTTGCAAATAAAACTCTGAGAATAGCGTATAACTGAGAAATTTGATAGTTTACGTATTCAGCAAATTTTAAGTCATCATCCATTATAATACCTAGATTCTTCGAATGATCCACACCTTTTGGATTTATGTTTGTGTCCTTTTTTAAAGCACCCCTTTTTGTTTTATTTGCGTATACCAAAATATTTGTCTTTAAAGGGTTCAAACGAAGATTATGACTTCTACTAAACTATTCAATTTGGGCAAAATCTTGATTAATCGTATTATAAGCTGTTTCCTAGTCATTACTCCTAAATGAATAGGAAATCTGCGTACTGCATGATCTTATCCCTGTTTCTAAATCTCAGATACATAATGAAAATAACAAGGGTCTCAACACAGATCCCTGTGGTACACCAGAACAAATTTTTTGTGCGGTACAGTACTGTAGCTTTAGATGAGCCATTGTTATATTGCCTGTTAAATCGCATAGTGATTATTGTATTCTAATCGGCCCTATGCACATTTTCAAGTTATTCAAACTTCTTTAAATCTATGAAAATTAGATTGGAAGATTCCGTTACAAACGTACATACATATAGGACAAGTTACCCTGTTAAAAAAGCGTGCAATTTTCTGTAATAAATGAACGTCGCTTATGGTAGTAACGCTTCAAATTTGAGATAACAATAGCAATAGAGAACATGGACACTACATTGTTATACGAGTTATACAAAACGAACAACGAAATAAGCAGAACGTTATGTATTTTTCCTGCTAGGAATATAATACGAAGTCGTGTCTTTTCACCTTGTTATAAGAAAGATCTCCTGAAAAGTCACGAGTCGAACAACAGCCGGATGAAAGTGAAATATAATATTATCATCGTTATCTGAGTGAGGTCCCGCTCTTCATCTTGATATTCGGAGATGGGAAAAGCAGGAAGAAAGCTCGTAACGATGACATCGTGTTGTAACGCCGACTTTTTTCCACATTTTACCATCAAAAAGAAACAAAACGCCTACGTGATCTGGTAATTCTTCTAAAGAAAGCATCTCTGACATGTCGATTACATAACGACGATCCCGAAAATGCCTCGTACAACGTATGAAGTTAAAGTTGGAATAACAAAGTATTAGCAGTTCCCCTCACATGGTTTTGGTACCATACGAAATAGTACCAAAAACGACAACAGTTACAACAGTTAAGTCAAGTTTTTAATCTATCTGAGATCTCTAAACTCGCAGCCTCCGCTGAGGATCAGGCTTTCTTGGCAGTACCACCCACCCTGGTAGCTTGAACAGTGGTACATGGATAATGCAACAAATGATTTCAATTTGAATGATTTAAATACTCATGTTCCATCTACCGTCGAAGTAGTACCTTTATTAATCTAAGGCCGTACCGTTTTCAACTCCGAACTGATTTACCTGAGATCTCTAAGGTTTCAGCAACATTCGCTGCTATGCTGCAACCGACAAGGATATGGCTTTCTCGGTAGCAGCACCCACCTGGGTACCTTGAGCAGTGGTACCACATGGATAATGCAACAAATGATTGAGTTATTAGAATACACTGAATGCATTAAATAATTCTCATTCATCTGGTGCTGAGGTAGTACCTTTTTTATCTAAGGTGGTACCATACTTAATTTCAAACTAACTTATCTGCGATCTCTAAGCCTTCATTAGCATTCACTGGTCTTGAGCAACCGGCGAGATTTTGCTTTTCTCGTCAATACCATTCACATGGGTATCTTAAATCGTAGTAGTACCACATTGACAGTACAAAAATGACGTCAATTTGAGTTATGTTAATACACATTCCTACTTAACTACTACTACGCGAGGTAGTACCTTCGTCGATCTGAGGTGGTACCGTTCTTATTTCCGAGCCAATTTATCTGAGATCTCTAAGCCCCCAGCGGCATCCGCTGATCTGCAGCTTCCTCGGTAGTACCACCCGTCCGGTAAGGCCCTTCCACCGCTGCGCCGTATAAACAAAGTAGTACCCAGGTACCGGCTGCTAGCCGGCTAGTCGACTGACAGGTTCACCGCAGGTCTAGGCGACAATCGCGGTACGACGGTACCAGTCGGGTGAACGCTCTCGGTCGTACGGAGTGCGGTAGGTACCATTTGCTCGGTGCTTGCAGTACGCGACGCGAAGCGCAAAGCTCGTACCATCTTTGCGATATTTCGCTCTCTTTACGGCGGATTCTTTTGTGGATCGAAACGTGTAGTTTTTATGCAAAGTAGTACTGTTTGCTAGGGTACAACAACTGTAAATGAAGGTAGTACCTTCTTTGCATTTTTGAATTGCAGTTCAACCTTCTAGAAGCTTTATCTTAAGTACTTAAACATTCAGTGATGATAACATACCTTGTAGGCACTTGGTACTAGATCAGTGTGGTTTAAAGACTACTGGTAGTACTTGAGCATAGATATAATTAGATTTTCAAAGCTTAAATCGAGTAACCGCAGCTGAACGTTTTGAATGACAAAGGTTAGAACCATTTGTGACTTCATTAATTTTGTAATTTTAAATAATCTACACATATTTCGCTGGCAAGTAACAGGTATTTACAAACTACTGTTATCAGTATAGGATTATTGTGATACCCTTGAATCAGTAGTACCTACTTCACGCAGTATTTTGAATAAATATGGTTACCAATTGGGCTTATCGCAGATTAAACTAAATTAAAGCATCGGTACTACTAAAAAGCTCTTTGTGCGCGGTGCGAACTTTGAATATGTGATTGATAAAGTACTACTCGTATCGCGCTTTACGAAAATGGGTGAAGAGGTGGAGCCTTTGCAAACTTTGAATTCCTTGGATTGTTGGGATTACTCTATCGAGTTGGAATGCTTGTCAGGAAGTCAAGGTTAGTACCGCCATTCTTCAATTCGTTGGTATAAAACTGTATAGTACGAAGTATAAAGTATTGCAAGTTCAAAAGACGTAGGCAGTTACTGTGGTCAAATATTTGGTTGTAGTATATCTTTTTGGTGATTATTGAAGAAAATATGAGAGATTTAAAAATGCTTTTTCTAATTTTCGTTAACAATTGCAAGATAGTAGATAATTAGCAAGGTCGTCGGCCAGAATTAATCGCTTATATAATCCAATCTTGATAATCCACCAATCTGTTTTTGATCACATTTTTTCATTATTTAGTTTAAAAAACGTAGTCAGAGGTAATTACATTCGAAACGCTAAATTAGTTTCAGATTATAAGTAGATTAGTGGCGCCTAGATAACTCTTAAAAATGGGAAAAAGTACAATTGATCTTTTTCTTAGTATTATCAAACTGTTTCTCCAAGATGAACAATTATGTTCTGCGAAAATTAGATCCTCAATGTTCTATGATGTAACTCGCAGGTACAAACTGAAAAAAATAAATAAAAAAGCGTTATTTTGGATTAAGTACAAGTCTTTTTTCATTAGGAATATTCGGAATACGTTTTTCTTATACAGTTTATTTGGGAGTTAAATAGTAAAATAAAGCAAAACCTCTCCATATCTTGAAATAAAAACATTTAATAGCAGTTCTGTAACATAAATCTACTAGCACATCATTATCTGACGGCGCACGATATGCGAATCAAGATCTTATTAAAACAATAATCTGGATTTGATTTGATGCACGGCCAACAATAATTTGTGTTATTTTGACTCTTAATGGGAGAATTAATCTATTGTTTTACATTTTTACATTCAAACGGGTTATTACGTACATGCAGATATAAACAAACTCAAGTGGGTTTAATGTTCAAGGTGAGATTGCCGCAACCATGGGTATGACAATTTAAAATATTACTTTTATATCCTGTGAGGTAACTCGGCATGGTTATGTGTTACACTCAAAATTAGATTGAACTAGATTCATTCATCAAATTTCGAAGTTTTCTACTTAATATTTATTCAGATACTGATACTTTCGAAATACGTTTGTCCTACAAACATAACATATCTAAAGTAGTGAATCTCTAAGCAGAAAAATTTACTATCACTCTTCTCAGATGATACTTTTGCCATTAAACGTATCTAAGGATTCAATGCATGTATCTACTATAAACCTCATTTTTGAAGAAAAGTGAGACGTCCTTCTAATTTGCCTAGAAAGCGGTACACGTCTGTCTGGTAAAAACATATAAATATTTAGTTGGCTATGGTAATGGTGATTGGAATATTTTCGATGCTGCGTTACAGTTATTAACCGCAAATTTTAACGGTTTTTGCCACTGAGAGTTGAGCGTACAAGTTTGTGCGAATGACTAGACGAAAATCCGAATGATTTAAAAATAGATTTTTGTGTCTAACCCAATAATAAGTGGGTTTTAATGTTAACATGTGAGTTAGCGCCGAAATAATCCGTATTTCACCTAGTTTGAAACAATGGCGTCTAGTATACAGGGTTGATTCATTTATTTGTATTGAAAACGATACAATAACACAAAAAGTTTCCCAAATTTAGGTAATCGATAAGAGTATTACAAAAACGCCAAGATTGTACGCGGCAGTGGTCGAGAATATTAAAAAATATATTTAATATTCTTATTTTTTAAAATTTTTAATCTTATACTCTGCAACTTTCATATAGACAAGCAGTTAAAATAAATGTCTCAACTTTGAAAACATCCTGTATATTATAGATTCGAAATATCTTTGGAACATATTAAAGCAAATAAATACCTGTGTAATATAATTCTTTTTCTAATAAAGTAATTAATTGACACCTGAATCTTCACACGAAATGATTAAACTGTATATGGATGGTAAATAAAAAATATTTAATTCGTATAAGGTTAAAAACGGAAACATTCAAAACATCAAAGGTTCTACTCGAAATATAAGGGTATTGCACCTAATTTGACCTAGAAATTATTCAAGTAGTCACGTCGGAATTTCTGATAGAATCTTTCAAGATCAAACAAACGTTTATGTCACAGCTAGTTAACTTTTCATTTAAATAACAGTTATTATAATCCCGCAACTGTGCATTGTAATTGATTTCGACGTTTCTTCGACTTGATGGCACATCACGCGCCAAATTGTTCTATAGAAATCATTAATATAAATGTTATGGATTTCTTGCATGGTCTTATTTTCATTTATTAATTACGAATTTTCAATGTACATATATTGTTCAGAACTTTTTTGCTCCTGTATGTTGTTGACACCCTATTAGATTCTTATACTCAAAGCTGCGAAGAACTGTTGAAGTGTAAAACACGAATAAGCGTTTTAGGGTGAGTCACATGTTCTCTTCTTCATCCAACGATGGTGTTCCCCAAGGATCGGTCTTGGCTCCGACACTGTACCTCTTACATATGATCGATCTCCTTTCCTGTACAATCAATCCGATCCACAGCCTTGCTGACGACAGCACTCTACGTGCAGGAATTCGGAGTGACACACCGGTTTAGCGGAGAATTAAATTAAATTATACTCTCTACTGTTGAACAGTAATGAAGTATAGGAAAATACTGTTTTCGGCATCGCAGAGAGGGATCCATAGACATTTAAAGAAGACTGTGAAAAAGTATCCAAGGAAAAACGTTTTTTCGTAACGGGTACTGGTCAAAAGTGGAAACATCTGTTAGTAAACACCGCAGAAGAATTTAATAATATTGTTTCATATCTAAAATAAAAATACTGTTTATTTTTCTCCTCAGAGCAAAATATACTTTATTTCTTGTAAAAAAAGTTGGCAACCCTAGAGGGCGCCGTCGGTGATCTAGTTCTCTTCTACCGCTATGCCGACGGGCTTTGCTCCTCAGAGTATTGCAACGTTACTATAATCATTTTCCTGAATATAGCAAAGTTAATACTATCTCTCTGTCTAAAAAATTAACCGATATGACACTAGATACCGTAAAGCCTTCCATGAAAATTTGCCATAGCTATGTTTTTCCTTTAAAAGGTTATTGCGTCATAGATGGCGCTTGAGCCAATTATTTTAGCGTATACCTAGGTTTCTAATTATTGCGGAAATTCTCACTGATGACGCTCCGGTATGTCATTTCATCTCGCATATAGCGTTAGCTTTACTATCTGTTCAAGCTTAATCCGTATGCGTTTATATTCTATGACAACCTTTTCACCTACCCCCCACCGCTGTTGCCCCACAAAAAGAAAACGCCAATTAAACCATGTGATGTGAACTTCTTTCACTTATATTAATTACATATAAAAAACTGCTTAATATAAAATCAATTGATCGTTATAATACGCATATCCCAGAGAGGAAATGAGTTTTACTTCGCGCGTTCTATCAATGAGTTCTTCGGTCTTCCTTCTTATCATGGATCGAGGTCAAACCTCGTAGGCCAACCGTGATTATCTTTCAATTAACTGGCAAAATGTTCTAGTTTTCCACACTCCATTATCCGAACTCTCTATGAATTGATTAAGTAATTTTAGTAATTACCAGTAAGCGCACGCGCTATTCAAAAGTTTTAAGTACACAGGGTGATTCCATGGAATGCCTTTATGTGTAGTATGCCTCATTCTGCATTATACGAGGGTTGTTTCAAAAAGAGAAGAGTAGAAAAAATGAAGACTGTGGAGAAAAATATACTAAGTGACATATAAATCCGAACACCCAGTTTAAATGGTTTTATTTTAATAAAATTTTGTATAAGTACTTAATGAAGCATAATAAGTAAGTGATAAAAATTTCAAAATGATTGCACTGCTTTAAAGCCCTTTGACCTTTAATAATGTGTGGATGCACCCTAATGTGCTACGCATTCTCCAACGCGTCTAGGCATGCTTCTGATCAGGTGGTCAATGTCCTCCTGTGATATCTCATTCCAGGCAACCACCAACTCCTCTCGAAGTGCTTCTAGAGTCTGAGGAGGACGTTGCAAATTGAGCAATCTCCTACCCATCATATCCCACACGTGCTCAATTGGGGATAAGTCGGGAGATCTTGGTGGCCATGGTAACAATGTGACATCATTATGTTGAAAGAAGTCTATTGTGACTCTTGCAACATGTAGTCGGGCATTATCGTGTTCTAGAACTTCGTGGATATAACGCTGCGCGTTCATGTTACCTCTGATAAAGATTAAAGGTGACCTGGAACCGTAAGCTATAGCACCCCAAACCATAACTTCAACAGTGTGATGAACATGTCATTCAACAAAAAACTGTGGATTCCTCCTTTCACCACGTCGCCTTCTAACCCTTACACCGACGTAATCGCCTTGAGTGGTGCAGACAACGGTCACTCTGGGATCAGGAATGGAACAGTATTGTCTTTAGTGACGAGTCTCGATTTTATTTAGGCATGCACGATGGTCGTGCCAGGGTTAGAAGGCGACGTGGTGAAAGGAGGAATCCACAGTTTTTTGTTGAAAGACATGTTCATCACACTGTTGGAGTTATGGTTTGGGGTGCTATAGCTTATGGTTCCAGGTCATATAATCTTCATCAGAGGTAACATGAACGCGCAGCGTTATATCCACGAAGTTCTAGAACCCCATCTTTTACCCTATCTTGACACGCTGGCAGATCCAACTTTCCAACAAGATAATGCCCGACCACATGTTGCAAGAGTCACAATAGACTTCTTTCAATATAATGATGTTACATTGTTACCATGGCCACCAAGATCTCTCGACTTATCCCCAATTGAGCACGTGTGGGATATGATGGGTAGGAGATTGCTCAATTTGCAACGTCCTCCTCAGACTCTAGAAGCACTTCGAGAGGAGTTGGTGGTTGCCTGGAATGAGATACCACAGGAGAACATTGACCACCTGATCAGAAGCATGCCTAGGCGCGTTGGAGAATGCGTAGCACATCAGGGTGCATCCACACATTATTAAAGGTCAAAGGGCTTTAAAGCAGTGCAATCATTTTGAAATTTTTAT